TTAAATTGTTATTAAATTTTATTAGTTTTAGTGAACATTTACAGAGGTTTTGGGTTTTCATTCATTCATTGTTGCACTGTTTTCTCTACCCTCCTCTCCAGTTCGTTCTTCTTCCCCCCTCCGAATGTCTGTTTTAATTGTCCAATTGCCACAGTGCTTGTCAAAGCCAGTTCTGATTAATCTCCTTTGTCAGTTGTCCTTTGCCATTCCCTATCTCTTCTCCCTGAGAGAGACTTCACTCTGATTCATAAGGAAAAAGGAGATGGAGTATTCTCTTAACTACTTCTTGCTGAAAAGGGGCGCTGTAGGTTTCAGGGTGAAGATCTTCTCTCACTACTCTAAAGGGCCCCTTTGGCAGTAGGAAACACATAGACTATTATGGAGATTGCTTTTGTAATTCATTGCCTCTTCTAAATCCAGCTTCTACTTCTGGTAGTTCTCTGTCAGTGAAATAGTGTTCTAGCTGTTTGGGGATGATTTTTCAGCAATATTTTGCTTGCATGTGATGATAATGATACTATTTAATAATTTCCACATTTTTCCATCATTTTTCTTGGGAATGGCAACAAATATCCAGTCTGCTCTGTACATATTTATTTTTACCTTCATCTCGTAGATGTCGAATGTGGAGTTTTCTAAAATCAAATCACTTCCTAAAGATCATATGAATATGAAGCAGTGAAATCCAAATTTTAGCTGAGATTATTTATACATCCTGATTGCTGATTGCTTTTTGCCGCCTACACATCTCAATGAATATATATTGGTAGTTTTGTCTATGACTAAACACTGTGAAAGATAATACTTTTAAATCTATTGTGAATTGATTCAGCTGGCTGATGGTACTCTAAATACAACTTTAAACTATAGCCAACTACGGAGTTTTCTAATTTTAGTTAATGTGTTGCTGTTTCCACTAGATCTTCCGAAAAGCAAAAGCAGTGGCTCCTTCAATACTTTTCTTTGATGAACTTGATGCCTTAGCAGTTGAAAGGGGCAGGTAAGCATATATAGAGAAATTAATATTCTTATACATATTTTGTGCATTGCTACAATTGACTTAAAGGATAACTTTAGAAAATGTGTGCATTGTATTTTATTAATTTTAATTTTTTTTAGATATTTATAATTTTATTATTTATTTTGTTTTCATTGCATTGAATATTCATGATGTAATCCTTTCTCATTCGGTTTTTAAAAATAACTATTTTTGACATTATGTAATTTTTATAGTTTATTTCTCTACAGACATCTTTACTATTGCTTAACAAAATCAGGATCGTTAGATGTGTATATTCAGCAGTGTAAATAAAACTGGATTAAGCTAAATGTCCAGTAAAAGCATATTATGATGAAAATTAGGCAACTCTCCTGGCGTATTCGGTAAAGAATTACTGTGTTAACTCAAAGTATGCTGTGTTAATTCTAAGAGTGTGCCTCTAGATTCATTAGAGGCCTCTAGGGGAGAAAAGTATGCAATCTCTTCCCAAGGTTTTTTTTTACAGCCTTGGATAACTGATAGAAGGTCAGCTATGAGTTGGTTGTGTATCCACAGCAGTGAATAAGTGAGTGAAAATGTAGTTGTAAGAAAACATAAATTAGTATTTTGGGGTTGAATCTGAGAAGATAAAGAGGATTATATGTAATGTTTTTAAACTTGTATGTATATGTATAACTATCAGGAGTGTTTCCAAATACAATTTTTTTTCTACAAATATTTATAGGCCTTTTAAATTATATGTACTACAAATACTTAAGCAGAATAATACCTATTCATGCACTTTGTGTCAGTTTTCTTTATGTATACATTTAGGATAATTAGATGTTTGCTGATGGTAATTGTAGTATTATTAGAAGGCAGCCTGTCTGTGAACCCATTTCAAGTGTGCCAAGAAGCATTGCTGTTTTCGCTCTTCCTTAGTGGAGGTGAATATGTAATTATAGAAACTTTTCACTCTGTGAGTACTGACTCTCTACAGCAAATAAAAACAGCAGAAGCAGTCCTGAAGAAAGAGCCCTAGTGGCACGTGGGTTGGGTATTGTTGGGGGCTGTGGTGGGGGGGTGTTTTCATCTGCTGAACAAAGGATGACTCTCACTCAGAACTGACTCAGCTAAATACAATAGTCATGAAGGAAGCAAGGTCTCCTGCTCTCATGACAATAGAAATTTTCTAAATATCTGCCAATTTTTTTTCCTTATGGGTTATGATGGTACTTAGGCCCTCTTATTATTTCTGAAGTGAGAACATAAAGAGGGTTGTAAATAGCTCTAATCCACTTCAACAGCAACAGGAAAAGCAAAAGAAACTCCAGAAGTTTGGTAAAGTACTGTAATCTCCTATGTGTAGGTAAAATCAAGGACATTGGATTTCAAAACCTAAAAATTTCCAGGATGGGATGCATTAGTAAAGTATGTAACAGAGCTCTCCTAAAAGGTTTCTCAAGTAAATGCTAGATAAACTATGTATTTGGGAGCCATTTTTCTCAGTACAAATGTTAAACTGTATTTATCAGATTTTAAATCCTCTCTACTCTGTAGGTACTTATACTGCTATCTTAAAGATCTCACCTCTCTACTTGTTCAAATCCACCAGCTGCTGCAAAGGTGGAAAGATGGTCAGTCTTTTTCTATGCAATTTACAGCCTTGTAAACCTAGTAGAGAGCCATGAGTCAGTTCAGACTGAATAGCAAGGAATGAGTCTTTAGTTACTGTGTATTAAGAGTACTGGAGGACTGGCTGGCAGAATGTGGGATCAATCCCTCTTACCTTGGGCACTTCTAACATCTCACCACCATGCTGTCTCATATGTTGTGGTTAAGTGCTGTTGAGTCATAAGTGACTCATAGTGATCCTATGAACAGAAACCCTGAACACTTGTCGTTTCTCCAACGTTCATAGTTTCTGGAAACAAGCCATTTCAGAAGTGGATGCCACTCCTGCTTCCACGCTTGCTTTAGTCGGGAAGCTCCACCAGACACTGTTCACCATGGGTAACCATTATTGCATTTGACACATCAGTGTCACATTGTTTAGCACCATAGCCACCATGAGTTACCTCTGTATAGCAAATGGACAGACCAGTGCTACACCACTTAGAAGAACGTTTGACCAAAAACAATTAAAACCAGACCTGAGGGCCGCAGATTAAAATCACCCCACCTTTGGCTTGGTAGCATAACTTTCTATCGAGTAGGCCACCAGGGACAGCGTAAAACCAGTTTTCTCCCATACTGCCAGCCAAATGGGTTTTTAAATAGGAGGCCGAATCACATCATCTCACACCCATTAATGAATCAACATTCCATCCTAATCCTCACCAGAACCAGCAAACAAGCCTCTGTAGAATCCAGCTCCTGCAGACAACTTCCAAACTGGACTTCAGCATATAAGTGTCTTCAGTGTAATAAAGTATTCCATTTCGCAGAATTCATCAATAAAACAAGTTAGTTAATATGAAAAAAAAATAGTGTTGGTGGACAAATGCGCAATCTGAAGAGGATAAAATTAATGAATGGGACCTTCTAAAGATTGAATCGTGTGTGCATCAAATGCTTTTTCCAGCAGAGTGAAAAGAAAACCTACTGACTGGGAAGAAATATTTGGCAATACCATCTCAGACAAGGGTCTTATAATAAAAGTTTATACAATACTTCTGGGCCTCCACAAGAAAAAGACTGATAACCCAATTACAAAATGGGCACAAGACATGGAAAGAGTTTTCACAGCGGAAGACATTCACATGGCCAACAGTCACATGAAGAAAATGCTCCAAATTACTGGCAGTAAGAGAGATGCAAATTAAAGCCACAATGAGGTACCATTTCAAACCAGTTGTAATGGCAAGGTTTATCAGGCCTGCAAGCAATAAATATTGGTGAGGATGTGGTGAGATAGGAATTCTTACACACTGTTGGTGGGATTGTAAACTGGTACAGCCACTCTGGAAGGCAGTTTGACACTTCCTTTAAAGCTGAATATAGAAATTCCATATGACCCAGCTATTCCATTGCTTGGAATATATCCCAAGAAAATGAGAACTGAGGGTCAAATGGACACTTGTATACCAGTGGTCATAGCAGCATTATTCCCCATTGCAAGAACATGCAAACAGCCCATAAGTCCAGCCACAAATGAATGGATTAAGAAGCTGTGGTATATTCATACAAAGAAATACTCCGTAGCACACAGGAGCAATGATTTTGTGATTTATTACCTAACTTGGGAGGGACTAGAGAGAATTATGCTGAGTGAACTAACTTGGTTCCATGGGGACAAATACTGTATAAAACCATTATTATAGAATGAATATGAGGATCCAAGGAGGTGGGGAGGGTGAAAGCAGAGGGGTAAGGATGGGCCGGGGGGTGGGGACTTAATGATACGGTTGTACAGTGCAATGGGGGGGGGTGAAGTAAATGGGAGGGATCTTGTGTGAAAAATAATCTATACAATCTTTGTAAATAAATCAGTATTTTTTTTTTAAAAAAGAGTGCAGGTTGTTGCCTAAAGTGGGTTGCCCAGCCTTTTCAGAGGTTCAAATCTACCAGTGCTCCTTAGGTTAAAGATGAGTCATCTCTTTTTTTTTATATCTTACTACTCTGGAAACCTTATGGAGATTTGCCATGAGTGGGAACTGAGTTGATATTTTTTGTTGTTGTTAGTTGCCTGCAAATCACCTGTGACTCATAGTGTCCTTATGTACAATAGCTTTTAAGCCTGCCCTATCCTGAGCCAACCTCACTGACTCCAACACACCTACTCCTACTGCCCTAATTACTATCTCAGCCCATCTCACCCAGGGTCTTCCTCTCCTGCACTGTCCCTCCACCTTTCCAAGAAATGATGCCCTTCTCCAAAAACTTATCCCTCCTAGCCACATGCCCAAAGTATGTAAGAGCTTCAAAATCCTGGCCTCCAAGGAGAAACTTTGTTTCACTCTCTCTAAGACAAAGCCATTTGTTTTCTTGGAGGTCAATGATATGTTCCAGTCTCTTCTCCAGCACCACAAATCAAAGGCATCAATTCTTCTATAATACTAGTCGTTATGCAGCTCTCTGATGCATAACATGTAATTGGGAAGACCATAGTTGATAGTAGTGAAATTGCTATGGTTGTGTATTTTTTATACTTCCTGCTCTCAGTGGTTTATTCAGATCAAGTACAAATAAAAGCTATACTGTTCTTTGTAGAGAAAGATTTCTGGTCATGATTGATTATTTTAACATTTCAGAAAAAAAAAATAAAAGACTGCTAAATGACTTCAGTGTTCTTATGTCCAAAGTTGGGAGTTTTATTGTATTTTGTTTGCATTAAGTCTTATATAATTTGGTTGTTTCTAAATATAAAAATTTTGTAGAATCACATTTCTTTTCATTTTTTTCTCCTTTGCTATGCATTGAACCAGGATTACCTAGAGGTGATAAAGTTAACTAGTTAGATTGCCCTTATTAAAATTACAATAAATAAAACTTTCACATGTATATTTTTGCTTGTCGGGCTGTTTGAATTCAACACATTTTCTAGAAATTACAAAACAGTATATTTATCTATAGTATACAAATATTTAATTCCAAGGAAAAGAAATTATTTTTATGTTTATTAAAGCATATGGAAGAAGAAAACATAGAAAAATGAGACTGTTCTTCTTATCAAGTTCTTGAAAACATCTAGCCTCGGTTAAATGTTCCCCTTTTGCAAGATTATAATGGAGCAAAAAGAGCAAACAGCAGCAAAGCATCAGTCTGTCCTCCACTAGTTGTCTTTATCTTCAGAAGTAAAGAGGTGGAGAGTGGATCCCAAGTATCTACAATCTCTTGGCACAGCTTTCTTGAATGAATGGCATCTGTGGGATTGAATGAATAAAACTGGCAATTCCTAGAGTTACTATTTCTGTTCAGGATATCTGAGGCAGCCACAAGATCCAGAATCATCCCCATGGACTATGATTATGTAGTATTTTGTTGTTATTATTAGGTGCTAGTGCTGCCTTCAATATGAA